AGCAGAGGAAGGACCTCCTGAAAGGATAAAGCTTCGTGAATTCAGGTCCTTGCCTGGGGCAGGACATGGGGTTCAGGTGCACCCACAGGGCTTTTCCTGCCCTCACAGCATGTCTTGCATGAGGAGGAAAAGATGGGGGAGTTCAGCCACCCTGGGAGACAGGACTCAGGCTTCCCTCACCCAAGCAGACAACCCATAGGTGAGAGAATGCAGTTTGTAGGCACTGCCAACCACTTTGGCACCCAAGGCATGAGGATTTGCAAGCTCTGAAAAGGGTCAGCCTTGAAAAACAGAGCGTCATGGAGCTGTCACTCTGCTGCAATACCTGGTTCCTGAAGGAGTTGTGGGCACCTTGTCCTGATGTTTCTTTCAGCAGGCCAGGGGGAGTGGGGAGAGGCCCTCAGACAGAGGGATTGTTCTCTGGCTTGACAAGATCTTAGTGCCTGGAGAGGTTACAGAACACAGCCCCATCCTCTGAAGGTGACCATGCCCACAGGGCACTGCATCCCATGCCTTGGAGAACCAGGTGTTGCTTTAACCTTGTGTAAAAGGAGGGAGAATCATCACAAGGAGGACAGAAGGAGAAGGCAGGGAGTATAGAGGAGGGGAATAGACTGTGTGGAACAGGACGTGACATCCATTATCCCCCAGATTCCATCCAGTCCCTGTCCTGATGCCCCGTTGTGCAAGGGAGGCTGGAGCAGTGGCAGAACGTGTGAGCAGTAAAGACCGTGCTGGCAGAGAGGAAGATCAGGCTGGAGTTCACAATCAAGCCTTGCCCCAGGCCCCATAGCTCCCACAAGCAAGACTGACTTTTGGAGGGGTGTCTTCATCTGCATCCTTCAGCCTGTTCCTCTGTCAGTGGATGGGATGGACTGCTCTGGCCATTAATTCATTAGTGCTTTTCCTGGCCTTCCCTAATGCTTTCCCATTCTTTTCACAAGGCAGCAGGTTGAAATGAACAACCTGCACAGTATTTCTGGGCATTGTGGTTCTACTTTCTTTATTACAGTGGGGAAATGAAAACTAGATATGGGCAGAAGAGGAGCCAAGTGTGAAAACCAGCCTGCTTAGTCAGCCTTTTTCAGTGTCTGTTTCTTTCCCCTTTCACAAATTGCCCCCCCTTGGATCTTAGCTTTGGGTTTTTGGATGGAGTTTAAGAGTAGGAGGCTGCATTTCTCTACCAGCAGCCAGAGAATTCAGGGGGTTTTAACATGATGGCTTTTGACAGGCAAAAACCTCAGCTGCACTAAACAAGCAGCTCTGGACTTGTCCCTTCCCCTTCCTACTGCCCGTGTCACATCAGGAGTGTTTACCTGTGGTGCCCGGTGTGGCAGCCAGTGCTGTGCTCCCCACCTTGCTCCCCTGGCCAGGCAGGTCTCTCAGGTTGGGCTGCAGGTCCTGGGGAGCCTGCTCAGCCTCCCCATCCCTGGGAAGCACACGGTGCCTGCAGGGTGAGCTGCCCCAGGCTCAGGCCAAGTGAATCATCATCACGTGTTTTCAGAAAAACCAAAGCAAACCAGCCAACCCACCAAGCAAACCAGCAAGCAAAAGCAAAAGACAGATCTTGACAGCCTGGCCTCGTTGGGTGTGTTGAGGGTGAGGAGCTGTGTGGGGTTTTTCAGGCCTTGATTTCTAACTGAAGTGCATGACGTCCAGATTTGCAGAACTTGTTACAGCTTTTTGTACAGAAATAACCAGGCTGGTGCTGTGCTCAGTGAGCACAGCTTTGTGCTGCAGAGGTGTTGTCTCCCTCCAGGCACTGCACATCGTGCCTGCCTCTGGGATCATCCCCCTGCCTAAGCCCCTTATCCCATCCCAGTGCCCTCACCTCTGGCTTTTCTTTGGGGCTGCCCATGGAAGTTAGGAATTCTGCTTCTAGATCAAGCTGAACAATAACCCCAAATCAGCCTGTCCCCACTGTGCCTCTCTCTTGTGAGAGCATGCTCTGAGTGCCATCATGACCCAGCCCCTCTGGAGGACTCCACAGTGTTACCTTCTCAGCTGTCCTAGAGAAGGGCCAGCATGTCCAACGTGCCTGAGGAACCTTTGAACACGAGCAGAGGCACATCTCTGGGTTCCTGGAGAATCTGAAATACAGCATTCCTGGGGATGGACAGCAACTGAGCTGTTGTTTTCTGGCTCCCACTTGAAGCCTTTGTGTCTGTATCTGTTTGATCTTTGGTCTGAGAGGAAGCACTAGAGCTTGAGGGAGAAGAAAGCAAGAGTAACGTGGCTTAAAACCATCACTGCCCTCACTGGGCTTCACGTTGCCCAGAGTAATCTACACGAGTTGTTAGCTCTGGGAGTGGGGAAGCTGCCTAGATGCAGGAATGTTTCCTGACTTCTGGAAGAGCAGCGTTGCCCAGATCTGTGCTAGCTGCTCATCTGCTGTGCTCCCTCTGAACAAGCCCCTCAGAGCACTGCAAAGCACTTCCCAGTGTTTCCTTTAGCCACAACTGGAAGCTTTACACCCTCTTCCGTGTCACAGGAACTCTTAGACTGCAGCTTTTCTAGGACAAGCCAGGCAGCATTGCATTTCTCCCCCCAGGCCACATGAGCAGTAGATTCTTACTGTACTGAGTATTCAAGTAGCCATATCCTGTGGTTAGTGGAGGTTTCACTAATAAAGCTGCATGGTGGGAGGTTATTTCAGTTTTGCTCCTCTCAGCAAATAAAGAGCTAATGGAAAAGCCATCTTTTGGAAATTGGATGCTTCCTTTTTGGTAGTTCTGGAAACGTGATGAGCTCAAGCTGATGTTCAGGCAGGTGAGATGGCTGTAACCCACAGAAGAACATTGCTGAGTAGCTTCTTCCACAGATGGAAGGATTTTAGGATAAACTTTTAAGGGGTGTAACAGCACACTGCAAGCAGAATGTCATTTATTATTTACCAAAAGAGTTGAAACTCTTGGGTGTTCATTAGGAGAGGGGAGTTGAACAGGCTGTTCAGATATTCTCTCTGTGGTGTTAGAAGTGCCGACACAACAGGCTCCTGCAGTCAGAAGAGAAGCACTGATACTTGCAGGCTAAGAAAAGCAAATCTAGATAATAGGTTTGTAAACATAAATAGGCCTTTTAAGATGTAAGAAGCATACCTTGAAACACTGCTGGTTTTACAAGTCTGACTAATAATCCAATCGATTTTGAAAAGGAAATTATTTGAAAATCCTTTTTTAAATCCCTGGCCCAGCTCAGCACCAGCAGGATTTCTTTGGCAAGTCCTGGGTGCTGCAGCCCTTGCTGGACGTGTGAATTCCAGTGAGGAACATGAGGGTTACTTGATTTAGCTTCATGTCTGGGTTTTACTGGGAGGAGGGGAAAGAAGAAAGGAAAGGAAGGGCATTTTCCTGGACTGTACTGTGATGAGCAAAACCTGGCTTCACTGACTTCCCAGGGACAACAAATGACTGTGGTTTCAGACAGCAGGGTCTGTTTTCTGTGGGTTTGTTTGTTTTTTCCTATCTTCTTTTTTTTAAAAAAAGAAAAAGGGGAAGTGAAGAGCTGTTGATGTTTTCTCTCCCCCCTCTCTCTCCTCAGGGTTTATCTCCCAGTGCAGAGTTCATGATCAAGTTTCAGCATGTGCTTTGCAGCACTGAGTAATGCACTGGATAAAAATACTAAACGTGATATCTTAGAATAACAGATCAGTTGGGAAGGAGCTTTCCTTCTGCCGTTGCTGCCTCCCATGTTGTATTTAAAGGGGCATTGCCACAATCAAAGGAAAGAATGCAGCTTGGTTTTGGTTTAGGTGTGTATGATAGATGAGTCACTGCTTGTAGTTATTTGTTTAGCCTTTAATATATAAAGGGAGCAAGGCACTGGAGAAGTTCTTGTCCCAAAACATGAGCCAATTCAGCCAATCCAAAGACAAGGGTATGAAAAAAGGATGTGGTTTTATATTCAAAACACAAAGTTAAAAACCTAATATTTGAGAACACAATGTGAACTAGATGCCCTTTTTTTTTCTTGTAGCATCTTGAAAACAGCAAGTCCAGAAGGTCTGGGGTGGCAATGACTAACAGCCCACTAGCATTGTTTTGCAATTTAATTTAAAAAGCAGAATATGTTTTTAAATGCTCCTGTTGGGTAATGAGGAACAGCCAAAAAGTTTGTTCAGTGTGTGGCAAGCTTTTCTGGTTGGGAGCCTGTAGGACCTGACAACATCAGTTTGCAGTTGGTAATACAGGGGAACCTTAACTCTGTGCAGAACCTGGTGTCTGCAGAGGACCAGTATAACACTGTTTTTATCACTCTGTATGGCACCTAAACTGGCCCATGGGACCACAAAGTGTTCATCCCTGCTCATAAACATTTAACAGCAAAAATACAGTGGGTGGATACAGGTGATGAACACAAGAAACCAGTGCTAGAGCCTTGGGCTGCAAGGCAGGGAACATGGGAAATCAGTAACATCACCTTTCTCTTTGAAGTGATCACTGCTAAAGGAAAGGGCAGCTCTGCTCTGGGAGAGTTGGGGTGTTCAGCCTGGAGAAGAGAAGGCTCCAGGGAGACCTTAGAGCACCTTCCAGGGCCTGAAGGGGCTCCAGGAAAGCTGGGGAGGGGCTTGGGACAAGGGCAGGGAGGGAGAGGACAAGGGGGAATGGATGAAAACTAGAGGAGGGGAGACTGAGGTGAGACATGAGGAGGGAATTGTGGAGTGTGAGGGAGGTGAGAGCCTGGCCCAGGTTGCCCAGGGAAGCTGTGGCTGCCCCATCCCTGGCAGTGTTGAAGGGCAGGTTGGATGGGGCTTGGAGCAGCCTGGGCTGGTGGGAGGTGTCCCTGCCCATGCAGGGGGTGGGACTGGGTGGTCTTGAAGGTCCTTTCCAACTCAAACCATTCTATGATTCTATAGTATCAGCAGCAGCAAACTACCCTGTCAAGGCAAGAGGAAAAGGTATTTTGTAATCCTAACATGAGGTGAGAATCTAGATATGGATGGTCAGGAAAGGCTGTATTTTGCAGATGCTTCTTCCAAAACATCTTTAAGAATTAAACAAAGCCAGAACATGAGGACAGAGTATCCAATACTACAGATAAGCTACCAGCCTAAATGCCATGCAGTGTAAGGATACTACTCCCACTAGTCAAGGTGTAGAGTAGACAAATAAATCTGTACTGAAGAAGATGGTTGAATTATTTTCCACAAATAAGTTTAGCAAAATATGGGGTAGAGGGAAAAGAGAAGATCCCCTGGGTCCTAAAGGTGGGAAAGGAAAGTTCTTCAAGAGGACACCCTGAAAGAACAGAGTGGAGGAGACCCAGGGAAGGATGGTGTCCTGGAAGCCAAGGGGGTGAAAAGCTACCAGAAAGAGCAAACATCAAGGCCAGGGTTTCTAGATTCAGTCATGGAGTGTCCCTCCCAGGTCCCCTGCAGAGCTGCTTGGCAGGAGCCACTAATTCAGGGGACTGGAACCTGCAGGTACTTTTCATTCAATTAACATGCAGTGAAAACCAGTTCAGCAGAGGAATGAAGGGTGGAAGGGGTTGCACAGAGAAGTGCAACAGGGCCTGGCTTGCCTCTTAGAGACAAGAATGGTGGGGTGTGGTTCTGCAGTGGAGCTGCTTTGCTCAGGGGTTGACTTGTCTTCTGAGCAGCTTTGTTCTCTTCTGGGTAGGGATGGAATAATGCAGGAGACAATACTGACCAGCACAGACACAGGGAGAGCAGCTTGGTAGCTGGAGTGAGCTGAGCCAGCCTGGAGGGCAACGCTGCTGGACATCCCTGCTGGCCCAGAGTGGCAGGGTTTGTCTTGAAGTCTCTGCAGCATGACCCCACAGGGCACTTCAAGAAAGGCCCACACTCAGTGTGAGGGATTCAGAAATTCCTCTTAATCTCTAGTCTTTTGAACAGTGTTTGCTATCGACCCACTTCACACAGGACGTTTCATGGGGAGGGACCACACCAAGTCCTGCCAGCTGGGAGGGAGCCAGGAGGGGAACCATGGGAGCAGCATTTAACTCATCCCTGGGTTCTGAAGCCCTCTCCTGAGAAAGAAAATAGTCCAGGTTACCTGGCAGTAGATGAGGAGCTGGAACAGGACACCGGGGCGATTTTGTTTCGCGCGTCTGAACCAAAATAAATGAGTATGATTGAAAAAAGTGTAAGCAGACCTGGTTAGTCACACTCAGGTTAATGTTCCTGGGTTTTTCTGCCCTGTCCAGGCATGAATAACCGTGAAGTCTTGGAGCAAGTAGAACGTGGCTACAGGATGCCCTGTCCTCAGGACTGCCCCATCTCCTTGCACGAGCTCATGATCCACTGCTGGAAAAAAGACCCAGAGGAGCGTCCAACTTTCGAGTACTTGCAGGGATTCCTTGAAGACTACTTCACTGCAACAGAACCCCAGTACCAGCCCGGGGACAACCTGTAAACCCTGCTCTTCAGGCACTGTCAACAATCACCAGGTTCCTCAGCCCTGCCCCACCTGTCCTTCACCTCCCAGCTCCATGACCAGCTTCTCCAGAGGGCAGCATCTTCCAGCACCGCCGTGCACGGGAGGGGCTGGAGCTGGGCCCTTCTGCAGCCCCTGCCTCTCACCACTTGTCCTAAATAATCTGAATGTCCTGGATGAAAAGGAGGAAAAAAAAAAAACAACAACACTTTTTTTTTTTTCTTTTTTCCTTAATGAAAGACTCCAAAACTGCATTGTCTTGATGTTATGTAAACTGCAAAACCTCTGTCCAGTGTAAATAGTAACTCAGTGCCAATAACTGATCCTAGTGCTTTCCTTTTTTTAAAATGCAAAACCTATGTGATTTTAACTAGTCTTCTCCTGATTCAACTAAAAGTATTATTTTCCAGAAGTGGCCTCTTTGTCTAAAACATTTTTTTTCATGTTTTAACAAATAAAATAAAATTTAAAAAAAATAATAATTAAAAAAAAAATCAGGACAGGTGTTTGGGTTTTTTGCTTTTTTATATATAAAATATATATAATATATATACATACCTGTACATACAGTATATGGGTGCTAGTGCAGAGGAAACTCATTTGGAATGGAATGACTCCTGCTGCAGCAGTACCCAGAAAGTGATAATTTTACTGCAGACATGAAACCACTGGTGGGATTCTGAAAGCCAGTGATCTAATTTTTGGCTTTTGCCAAGCATGATTTTTTTTAAATTGGATTGCACTTTTTTTTTTTTGTTTGTTTATGATTATGTACCTGTAGATGGTTGTACGTTTGCTCTTTCAGGAATCATGTGCTGCATTTACAGTGATGTTTCCAGCGTTTGACAAGTGTGTGATGGTTTGTTCTTGAAGTTTAAAGCGGACGCGTTTAAAGCCAGAAAACTCCACCGGCTCCGTGGGAACTGGACAAATGGAAACTGCAAGGACTGCTTGTCTCAAAAAAAAACAACCCTGTGTACTGAAAGTTTTGAAGAGGTTTCTTAAACAGTGTAACTACCTTCAGGTGGTCTGAAGACCCCAGCGTTCCAGCCATGCCCACCTGCTGCTCACGCAGCCCGGATCTTTCTGTTCCGTGTGTAACATTTTTCCATTGTAAAAATAAGTGTGTTAAATGTCCTGTACTGCTAATGAAATTACTTTCTCTGTGTCTGCAAGTTCTCCAGTGGAATTACTATGCACTTCTGTACATTTCATGGGGGATGCACAGAACAAAGTATTACCTTTTCAGTTGTCTGTACCAGCCTTGAATTACTTACGTTTAACCAAAAAAAAGAAATTCCTTCCTATTTCTATTGAGTTTTTAATACTGAGTTGCAAATTTTAAAGTCTTAATTACATTTTGTTATGGTTGATTTGCAAGTTTACATTTTAAAACTGTTTAACTTTCTTAATTTAGTAATTAAAAAAAAAAAAAAGAAAAAAAAAAAAAAAGAGCATTTTACATCTGGATAGTTGTTCTTTTGTTTGAACTCTGGAGATAATGGTGGAGATAAAAACTTTTCCAGAAGGGGTGTCAGGCCATTTGGGGCATCATACTTCATAGGACTATGCAGACCAGTCACCTCTGGGACATCATTTTCCAAATCATGAAGTCAATCTGGTTTTTAACAGCTGGAGTTCAGCTGTGAGGACGATGGCTGAGTGCATAACTGTTCTCTCATTTCTGTTCCACAAGCAGGTTGTTCTTCCATAGTTCTGTTGCATTGAACATGAATACAACTGTTGCAGGAAAATATTTTCTATGCCTTGTATTGATGCTTTTGCTTTAAAATATTGCAGCCAAGTAAGAACTTCCTGGCAGTTGAAACTTTTTTTCTACTTATTTAATACTTAGATTGTGAATTCCTAACCTGAATATTCACACCTTTTCTAAAGAGAACCTGTTCCCGTTCCTGGAAACTAACCCAATAATGAATTGAGATTCAGAGAACAAATGATCATCGTTGTTTTCGTATTTTCTATACGAACCATTGACTGAAAATCTTCTTGCAAGGGAAGGTTCCACACCCTGCCTTTCTTGAAGTGTGAGTTTATGTGGCAGTGTTGCTTGTTACCAGATTTCCATGGCAAGTGGGTTAACGCTTCACACGTAAAGTCTGTAACAATGTCCTGTACATGATCTATTCAGTGTTGCTGTACCTGTAGCTGTGGAGTACTGGAGAGGCCATCATTCCTGTTGGACTTTTAGCCCCCTCTCAGTACCTACAAAGCTGTGGCCCTCCCTGTCCCACAGCTGCCCCCCTGCCTTAAAAGGGCCCCCCCGACCCGAGGACGCTGCGGTAGCTCGGCGGGCTGGCAACGCGCGGCCCCCCTGCCCAGCTCCTCAGCAGCCACAAACCCCACTGCAGGCTCCATCTGTAATGCGGGACGAGCCTCAAACACTCGTTTTGCCTCTGCTCCTCCCTGGGAGCAGGACCCAGCCGGGGCGTTGTTGGGGTTTGATGGGCTGTGCTTGGGATCCCGTGGTTTGTCGTTCCTTGTGCCGCGCTCGGTCCGCGGGCGCCGTGCTGGTCTGTGCCCGCAGCTGCCTTGTGTGCAGGCTGGTGCCACTGCTGAGGGGCAAATCCAGACCAGTCCTCCTCAGTAGCTCTGCTGCTTCTTTTTCTTAATGTTGGGAGTTTTGTTGTTTGGGTTTTTTAATCTCTCAAATAAAAACAAAAACAAAAGACATTAGCGAAAAATGCAAGCAAGGTTGTTAGCATTTTTGCTAGGAATTAAGGAAAACCTTTCCCCAAACACTGTGTATGGACCACAAAGAGCTGTGTGGTGACTGTAAAACTGAACTAGCAGATTAAAAGCCTCCTGATCACCAATTTTCAAATGTAAGGCTAAACAGATCCTGTCTAGATTAAAACAACTGGCCAGATGTGCTCCCCACCAGTACACCTGGCAACCAGTCCTTGGTGTGGCAGCAAAGCTCCAGAACAGGTGACCTGCCAGCAGCTGGGAGGACTCCAGGGGGTGACCCAGGTATCTCAGCCAAGCCTAATCCAATGCCAGTCCCAGGAAGACCAACAGTCCCAGGAAATGCTGCAAAAGGGATTGTTGCTGTAATCAGTGATGTGAACATATTTCTGGGGGAAGGAAATGACATGAGACTTGGTGGGTCTTCTGAAAGGCCCCAAGCTTGTCAGAGGCACTAACAGGGTACTCTGTGGTTTCTGCAGACAGTGCCCGACTTAGTTCAGAGTGATGTTCTTGTTTGGATTTCACTACCACTAGAAAAGCAAAGACAAAAAAAAGGAATGTGATGAACTGCTAAAATTACAAGAACGAGCACAAATGGAAAATCTGTCTCTCCAGTGTAAGTAAGTGTACCTGCTGAAGCCTCTAGCCTGGAAAGGACTACCTGCAGAAGGCAGATTGCTAGCTGGATTTGACCTTGCCACGTTACTTCAAGGTGAGTAGGGAGTTGCTCAAATGTATGATAATCTGCACCATCCTTTCCTGAAATGCTGCAATAAAAGCTGCAGTGCAGTAATGAACGCTGCCACATCGTACCCCAGGGGCTTCAGAGCCTCACATGAGGCTGAGCCCGAGCATGCAGGAGCTATTAGGAGATGTACAGTAGCTCCTCTTCTAATGTGTAGACAATAATCATTCATCAAAGAAGGCTTTTCCTGTCTGATGGGAAATTACCACCAGCAGTGCAGACAAAAGGATATTTATTTTCCCCGATGGTGGGTCGGAGGGTCTGTCTGTCGTTCAGGCATAATTGAGGTCTGTTTGTAGCTCAGAGACCTCATTGTGTTCTGCAATCTCACTCAGCAGTGATTACAGTTTCCTGTGACTCATGCCCAGGGACATGTTCTTGCTGCAGAGGCTGCTGGTGCTGGGGCCAGTGTTCCCTGCTGGGGCCAGTGGCCAGTGTTCCCTGCCACCTCCAGGGAAGATTTGGGCGCTTCAAATTGGGATTTTCCTGCTCAGCCAAACCAGCACCCGGCAGAAGATGGAAAGAGGCCC